ACGTAAACCAAAAGCACGTGTATATTACGGGCAGTTTTACTAGAGTTTAACACGTGATTTTTGAGGTTTTAAAGTCAAATTTAAAAGTCGCATATTTTTATCAGTGGTTTCACATTCCTTACGGAAAGTTATTAAAATATAATACTACGTTTCCATAACGGTGAAACCATTAATACTTTAACTGGTATTTATGGTAAATAGTAATAGTTAATTTCACGAAATAAAAACCATTTAGGGTACGTGTTATTTTTTTTGTTTTAGAAGGTTTTAAAAACGCAACAGAAACCAAGCGTAACTATTCTGAGTTGTGCCGGCTGGGGTCAGTATAATTATTGTTTTTGTTTTAAAAAAATATAACTATGTATAATTATGTGTTTGTTTTAAAAAAAAAAAATTGAATTGAACATTTCTTGCATTAAAATTGTAGAAAATAAAATCAGAGGTGGACATTCTTGTTGATAATTAGCTCTTGTTCTAATATAGTTTTTTTTAAGTATATATTGTGTTTGCATCTTTACCATACAAGCGATCATAGGTGGTATCACCGTATCCCAATCCAGCCCAACGATTGCCAAGCAGTTTTAGTTGAGTGTTCCTACGCCAGAGGTTATGCAGCACTATTCTTTTTTTTTTTTTTTTTTGAATATACATAGACTGCAAACACACACACACCCATACTAATAGCACATATACACCCATATATATACCAATATACATACATAAATACATCAATTCAATCATTTCAATCAGTATATATTTCGTCAATGAACAAAAAAGAAAAGAAAATTTTAGAATGTACTTGTAAAATAAAAATAAAATAAAAGATATTTTTTAAATTCTGACAGGAGCAAGCAGAAGACAATACATCTTATCATCTTGCCCCTTTGATAGTAAAGTAGTTAACTTTATTTACATGATTAAGTTCGTAAAATCTATAATTATAAAATTAGTTTGTTATAAAATTACATATTTTTGAGTTAAACATACATATTCGTATTAGTAAAATACGACAAAAATACATAAAAATACGACTTAAAAATACAAAAAAATATTTTTATTGGTTAGATTTAACAAATGTTGTTTCACAGTTTTTTTAAATGCTTTAATTGAGGCTATAGATTTTATGTCATTATTCAGGATTGAGTTCCACAGACGTGGACCCCGACAAGTAATAGAGTAGTCCGATTTTTTAAGAGTTGTTGATGGTATGTAAAAATTGTCAATAAAATACCTTGTTAAGTATCTGTGATTAACTAAAAAGAAATGTGGCTGAAAATATGATGGAAGCATGTTATTGTGAAGTTTAAACATAAACAATAAATTTTGATTAATGTTTAGTTCAAATACATTCAGAGCTTTAATTTCTTTTAGTAAAGGCTTGGCGTGTGCATATCTGTCTGCATTAAAAATTAACCGAGTCGCTTGTTTTTGTTTGCCATAATTTTATTTAATAAAGACGAGTGATTACTTGCCCAAGCTATTTTACAATAACTAATATAGCTATGTATAAATGAAAAATATAAATTTTTGAGGCACATATTATTCAAAAGGTGAGCATGATCCCCAAGGTTAAAGAGATTTTGTTTTCTAATAATTTAATAAGATTTTTCCAATTTAAATGTTCATCAAATAATATACCTAAAATGTTCATTGAATGAACATTTTTTATTTTAATATTGTTTATAAATAAATCTGGAAGTTTAAGGGGTAAGTTATCAGTTTTTGAGGGTTTTGTGAACAAAATGTATTTCGTTTTATTATTATTTAAAGAGAGTCTATTAACTTTAAACCAGTCGTTGAGATTTACTAGTTCAGTGTTAACAGTAGAAAAAATGTACTTTAAATTATTATCAGAAAAGAAAATATTGGTATCATCCGCAAAAAGAATGAAATTTAGTAACTCGGAGGATACATACATACACAGATACACATACACATTTATACATAATTTATTGATTTTATTTTATTTTATTTTTTTAATTTCTTTATTTTTCTTTTTTTTTTTTCTTTTTAATTTTTACAAAACCGTGTTATAAAAACCGTAATAAAATTTTTTTGTTTTTTCAAATACTAAATAAAAGATAAAATAAACCTGAAATTTTATACATACTAGCAATATATAATATAAAGCAATATACAATACGAACTCAAATAAAAAATATTTATACATCTATTCATAGCTATCAGTTTCAGTACAATCTCAATGTAACTATATACTTAGGTAAACTTAGTTTTAATAATAGGTATACAAACCCATAACACTAATAATATAGAAAAACGTTCTCCATAGAAAGAATTAGATTTTTAAGCTTAGTTTAATAGAAAAAGAGGAAGGTAGATCAAAATTTTGCAAAATAACTTTATTCCAAAGATTAGGTGCACGATAATCAATACAAAGCTGATTAAACTTGGTTCGACATAAAACTTGATTTAGCAACTTATTATTTCTCAGTGCATACTTATTGTCTGGTTTCAAAGTAAAAATATTTTTAAAAACGTCAGGAGATAAATTATTTTTCCACGTATATACAAAACATAGAGTATTATATAAATTCACTTCGTAAATATTAAGTATTCTCATTTCGTTAAATAAAGGTTTTGAATGAGTAAAACGATCGGAAAAATTAATAATACGAATTGCGTGTTTCTGACGTGAAAAAAGACGTTTCAACTTATTCTTTCCAGCACTTCCCCAAGCAATATTTGCATAATTTATATAATTATGGATAAACGAATGATAGAGTTGGGTCAAGATTTTTTTATTTAGATAATCTCTAGATTTATATAAAATTCCAAAATTTTTAGAAATCTTGGTACATACGTGATCAATATGCTGCTTAACCTGTCTAACCAATATGCTGTCAACCTTCATTAACAACAGAACAAGTTGAGATATTTAAGAGCAATGAAAAACACAAGAACTTCAGAAAGCAGCACATTCTGAAATAAGCTCTTCCACATTAGATTTAACACAAGAAGTTGAGAAATCTCAAAAATCTCCAAGAAAGTTAACAAATCGAAATAAGCTCTTCCAGATTAGGAAAAACGCAAGAACTTGAGAGTTCAGCACATAAAGAAGTAAGCTCTCCTGCATCAGTTAAAATACAAGAACCTAAGAAATCAACACATTTAGATATAAGCTCTCCTGCATTAGATATGTCTGGCAGCGTTGAAACTTCTGTGTCAAGACAAAAACTGAAATATGGTATACAAAAGTTGTCTTCCTTGCCTAGCAACTCCTAAAACTGAATTTAAACGCACAAGAAAACGTGGGAAAACTGGGCATCTGAATTCTACTCCAAACATCTAAGAATTAAAAGATAAAGCAATAGAAAATGATAATAAGGAAAAAGAACGAACGAGTATAGTTGAAAAAGAAAACACTGTTAAAAAAGTAAAAGAAAACGTTACTTGAAAAAAAAGACTAAACTGATGCAAATAATACAAGACTCAATAAAATTGATTTTGTATCTGATAAAGCTTGTTTGTTTTGTGAAGAACTTTATTCACAGTCTTATTCCAAAGAACCTTGGATTTGCTGCCAAAAATGCAACTCTTGGTGTCATTGTTTATGCGCAGGCGTAGATAAAAAACGAAGAAAATTTATATGTGAACTTTGTTTATAAATTTTTGAAGAATGTACTTGTATTATTTTTGGTAAAAAGCAAAAAATAAGCTCTGTTTGCGTAATTTATTAAAAGTATGCCATCATAGGAGCAGTTGGTTACCTATGATAGTATACTCGGAATTTTTTTAAAAATTGAAATAACTGTCAAAAAAGTAAAACTGGTAAAAATTTTGATGGCTATTATAGTTCTACATGTTACTAGGAATGTATCTATATCAACATTATTTTAGCCAATATCTGTGTTAAAGTAACTGTTGCAAAGTTTTCTATTTTTAATGAAGATGAAGTTTTGATAGATTATCCCTAATATTAGGAAAAAATATTTATTTGCTATATACACCGTGTCACATGATAAAGCCGAAAATATTTATCCTCGAAAATATCACCGAAATATTTCACAACCGAAAATTTTAGAACCGAAAAGTATACTTTCATTGCAGGATCGTATTACAAAATCCTTTCTTGCGCCGAAAGTTTTTTAATCGAATTTTACAACCGAAAAAATTTGGATCGAATTACAAAATCTTTTCTTTTTTTAATCTATTTTTTTTTTTTTTAGTTAGTCGTTTTACAATAAAACAAACAATTAAAATTTCTATAATATATATATATATATATATATATACATACAATGATTGATAACGGTGTAACTTTCGGTTGTAAACCATTTTAATGTAATTCGGTTCTAAAATCATTAATGACTTTCGATCGAAAATTCGATTGAAATTTTTTCGGTTCTAATTTTTTTCGTAAATATTTTCGGTTGTGTAATAAATTTCTCATATTCGGTTCTAAATTGAAATTAGGGATTCGGTTGAATCATAGGACGCCATATACACAGAACTTGATGTTTCGGGAAAAAAAAATACTTTAACCTAGTCTCCTACTTTAAAAATTATATATTATGGGTAATAGAATGTTTTAAAGTTGACCATTAATTTTAAATCAAAAATAAATCTTTGTTTTTCAGATTATAGTCCAAAACTGAATGCATAAAATGTATGTAACTGAATGAATAAACTGTATGTAACTGAATGCATAAACTTTTTTTTTTTTTTGTATGTATTTAGGTGCTCCCAGAAGTCCTTACGGTCTTATCATAGAGCACCGCGGGAGAGCATTTAACGGGAAGTTCACGCCTCCTTCCGTACCAATGTCGCTTGTTGGGCTAAAGCTGGCGTCGAACCTCGGACCTCTGGATTCTGAGCCAGAACTCTAACCACTGCCCCACGGCTGCTGTAACTGTATGTAACTGAATGCATAACCTATATGTAACTGAATGCATAAACTGTATGGCGCTATGTAAAATTTAAGATATTTTTTTATATTTTTTTAAAAAAAGAAGTAAACAACAAGAAAAAAAAAAAAACAGTTGAAGTTCTTAAAAGTTTAAAAACTCTGAAAAATTGTGGTCATGAGGTCTTCTTAAATAGCTTTCATTGTCATCATCATCAGCCTTTCTTCCTCTTCTTCCTTTTGCTCTTTGAAATTCTCCTCTACCTCTTCTTCCTTTTTCGTTTCTATCGATATTATCTTCTCGACCGCGCCCCTTTGTTTGGAATGAGTCTCTGCCACGGGAGGTATTAGCAGAGCGCCCTCTTCCACGCCCACGCAACCGATTGAATTGTCTTTTGTTTATATTGTTTGATTGTTCAAGGCAACGACTTCGAGAAGAAATTACAGGATCACATATTAAACAACCGATGTGTTTAACTTTATTATCAGGCAAAGGAGATTTTTCCTAAAGGTCAAACAATAAATATAAACTGTTACAAATCAATGGATCTAATGGAAAATACAAAAAATAACACAATATGTTTTACATATTAAAAGTGTGATCTTCGAAGACTAAACAAGTTACATGTTTTAAAGAAATTATACGTTTAACTACGGGCCCCATCTTTTTACAGATTAAAAATGTTAAAAAGCTATCTATTATCAAACGTTAGCTTTATTTGTAGGTAATTACAAATAAGAAAAACTTATCTGTGCACGGAAAAAAATAGTTAAAAACAGCTACCATAAAGTAAGGAAATCAATTACACAGGTCTGCGACATAAAAATTGATTCAAATTTAATAAGTGTTTTTATAGTATTTTCAACGCTGATTTCGGGAAAGTTCTAAAGTACAAGTTGTTTTATGGTCAATGGCTGCCAGAGGATGTATAAACTCATCAGATTGCTTCTGCTACATTTGTGGTAACTATACCATTAAAAGGCGACAAAGAAACATCTTCGATTTTGTTGAAAAGGTATATTTTGCTTATTTTGGTATAATGTTAGGCGATCAAGATAAGTCTTGGGCTCCGCACAAAGTTTGTTCAATATGTGTTGAAGAACTGAGGCAATGGTTTCAAGGTAAAAAGCAGTCCTTACGTTATGGAATAACAATGGTTTGGAGGGAGCCCAAAAATCATAGTGATGACTGTTAATATTGTTCTTGCAACGTACAAGGTTTCAATTTGAAAAACAAAAAGGATATTTCTTATCTTAACATTCAATCAGCCATTCGCCCTATTCCTCATGGACCTGGAGTACCAATACCCTCTCCTCCAGATTCTTTGGATGATATATTAGATGATCACGAGACATTGACTAAGCAAGGTGATAGTAAAGATGACAGTGATTGTTACGATCCTGGCATAACCGATCCAATTCCATTCTCACAATGTGAACTGAACGATTTAGTTAGAGCTAGATCTTTCTAAAGACTCGGTAGAGGTTTTAAGATCTAGATTGAAAGATAAAAATGTGTTGGCTTCGGGTACATCCTTTTCTTGGTATTGATCAAGAGAAAAGGAATTTGTATCTTTCTTCTCTCAAGAAAGTGACCTGGCATTTTGCAGTGATATTCCTGGACTTATGGCATGTTTTAAAATAGAATATGCTCCTAATGAGTGGAGACTTTTTATCGATTCATCAAAAAGCTTCTGCACAATGACAATAAGTATGTCAGTTGGACACTCGGACCAGTTGGACACTCGGACCAGTTGGACACTCGGTGCACTTAAAAGAATGTTACAAAAACCTTGAACTGGTTTTAAACAAACTCAGCTACTCAGAAAAATATCTTTGTGGGCAGTTTCCTGGTTTATCCGAGGCAAAGCTAAAGGAAGGAATCTTTATCGGAAGGAATCTTTATCATTAGAAAACATGAGAGATCCTAATTTTGTGGACAAAATGGAAACAAAAGAAAAGGCAGTATGGACATCCTTTAAATTAGTTGTTACTGGTTTCCTAGGAAACAACAAAAATCCAAACTACAAGACCATTGTCACAGACATGCTCGACAACTTTAAGAAGCTGGACTGTAACATGAGCATTAAAGTTCATTTTCTCTATTCACATCTTGATTACTTCTCGGCAAACCTGGATGATGTAAGTGAAGAGCAAGTAAAAAGATTTCAACATCAAGGATACAGAAAGAAGATATCAAGGAAGATGGAGTGTCAACATAATAGCGGACTACTGCTGGATGTTGAAGAGAGATGATCCTGAACGAGTCCACAACCGGAAAAGTAATTGAAGAAGCTTCGACAGAAAGCAAAAACGTTATTGTAAGGACTTATGAGCTGAAAGAGAAATGTAAGTGTTCTTGAAATATAGTTTAGAAAATGATTTATACATAAAATAAAATTCTATAACATTTGAAAAAAGGAAAAATTGGTCGAATTTTGTTATTTTACCCAAAAATAATCCTTTTTTTTGAGAAAACCTGACGTGATATAGAAATAGATACGTGATATAGAAAAAACCTGACGTGATATAGAAAAAACCTGACGTGATATAGAAACCTGACGTGATATAGATAAAGAAATGGATTTCATTTTCGAAATCAGCGCTGAGAAATACATAAAAAACAGTTATCAAATTTTAAACAATTTTTTAAAAATATTTTTTTGCAGACCTGTGTTATTAATCTGATTTAAAATCAAGATTAATAACATAGGTCATCTTAAGAGCGACTTAAGATGACCTTAAGAGCGACTTAAGATGACCTTAAGAGCGACTTAAGATGACCTTAAGAGAGACTTAAGATGACCTTAAGAGCGACTTAAGATGACCTTAAGAGCGACTTAAGATGACCTTAAGAGCGACTTAAGATGACCTTAAGAGCGACTTAAGATGACCTGACATAGCTCAATAGTAACCCTCTTCAAAATTGCTAATTTTTTAATATTAGAAGCTCAATTTCAAAATTTTTTTCATAAAATATTAATTGGTTCTCTATATATTAGATGTCAAAGTTTGACTGAATTTTTCGAAATATTGACTAAAAGGTGAAGGCATGTTTAAAATTGAAAAAAAAAACAAAGTAAATACAATGAGTATTTCATTTGACTATTGTTTATTGGCTAGTTCAGACCAAAAAACAATAAAAATTGGTAAAAAATAACTAAATATCATGCTTCAAAACATGCAAAAAAAGATTTTTTGTCATTTTTGATCTTTTTTTCCATTCGAAGCCGCGAATATCCCATAACAATTTTTTTGTTACGATACATCTTTAACTAGTTAAGTACCTAAAAGTATAAACACCTATGGGGAAGTAAAAGCTTAGTTGCAAAATCCAAATCAAAAACAAAATTCTAATCTTTTTACGCATTGATTGTGACATGATAATGGTTAAAGCCCTGAGTTACTGTAAACTTCAATTTAAAAAAACTTGTATTGACCTTTAATCTACCTTATTTATAAAAAATATCTATGGGGTATTGCAATAGTTCAGAAAAAATAACATAAATAGTATGGATATTTTCTTGGTACCTATATATTTATTTATAAGCGTTTGAATGCAGTATGTTACTCTATCATATTTTTTTAGTATAATTTTTACTCCAAATATGTTTCCTTAGTATGATTTTGAGTATTATTATTTTAAATTATAATAAATCTGTTTTGGTTTTTTTTAGTTAGTTAAGATTTTTTACTTTCTTATAAACATTTTGATTAAATCATATTGATCAAAGGATCTATGGTTAAAACCCCACCTCTGGGTAAGTTTTGCAACATCGGTTAGAAGGAAGTGTAAACTTTCAGTTAAAATGCTCATCTGCGGTGTTCTGTGATAAGTCTGTAAGGACTTCTTAAGACACCTTAAAAAAAAAATATTACTTACAACATAGGTGTTATTGTTTTGAATGGAATAATTTTGTTCTTTACATGCAATCTACTTCAAATGTAGATGCAATGTTGGTGATGATGTTCAACTATGTATAGGCCGCATCACAGAAAAAATGAAACACCTCTTAAGAGATGCACAACAGAAAAAGGCAAAGAATGATGCTAATAAACAACTAGATGACAAAACAGCATTTTGGTTGAAAGAATATTCACAGAAGACATTACCCATGAAGTTTAGAGAGGGTCAGAAGGACTACTTTGAGAAAAAAGGCTTAAGTATGCATATAGATGTTTTTTTACCCAAAAAATTTCTCAAAAAGCATGTTCATTAAACAATTTTATATCGCTGCAACCAAGGTGTTTGCTCTGTTACCTCAATTGCAAAATCAGTTCTAAATCAGTTTTTTTCTTGATGAGCCAGAAAAAGTAAATATTTTTGCAAAATCGAATAATGCTAATTATTCAGTTGAATCTATGTTCTCTGCAAAAATAAAAATTTTAACAACTTTAACAAGCCTAGCTGTGGAAAAGACCATAGGGAAAGTACATCTGCTAAAACAACACTAAGAAATTATGTATATGCTAAAGTTATTTACAACAACCTTTCAGTTAAACCATCAATTGAATTGATTGTTTCATTTATTAGTACGAAAGGAAATTTTAAGCGAAAAACCTTGAGTGGAAAAAAGAAGATTAGAAACTGTGGTTTAAACACACAATGTTTTTGCCAGGACACTGGTTGTATTGAATCTTTTGAAACTATTATTGAGTTAGAAAAGCATATGCTGACAGAACAGCACTAAAGATCTGAACAATCTTTCTTTTTAGATAAAGTAAAAAGAGTTTATACTGAAATTCGTTATAATTCTACAACTGCATTGCTTAAGATCATGCCTACCCCAATAAAAAATATATATTCTCAAAAGTTCCATAAATTAGTTTGGGCATTGCCAACAAAAAAGACTTTTCATTTTTCCATTAAGCTGAATAAACTTCTTTATGAATACTTCATAAATAAAGAAAATATAGGAAATAAGATGTCACCAGCAGATATAAACACAGCGATAAGAAAAAATCTTACAGCTAATAAGTTTGTTTTGAGCCAACAAATAAAATCTTTGCTCTCTAGATGGAGTAAGCTATTAAGAATTGGAAAATTGACTGCTCCGACTAAAGAAGAAGACAATAACAGTGAAGTTGAAAAAGAAGAAGCCAAGAAATATCAAGAAGAAATACATAAACTTGCAACCAAACTCTCTTTTATATGGTTGAAAAATAAATTGGTGGTAGTTGTTCACAAAAATCAATGGTATTCAGGAGTTGTTACAGAGGTAAAAATTTTGCATATATTGTTAAACCAAAAACTTATGATACATAAAAATAAAAAGCTAACAATACATAAAAAAACAATATTAAGTAAAAAGCTAACAATACATAAAAAACAATATTAAGTAAAAAGCTAACAATACATAAAAAACAATATTAAAACTTAAATGATTAGATATTTCCAGATAACTGAAGATGGTACTTTAATTGACTGTATGAAAAGTGTTTCATTTGGAACCAACTGTTATCAATGGCCGAATTAAAAGATAGCATGGTATATTTAGATGATGA